ACAAAAGGAACGCGTTGCAGCTTGTCTGGTTAGAAATGGAAGAACGCCCAACGTACATAACACCAGCGCGGCTGCGGGCCGCTGCTGGCCTTACCGAGCGCTTACTGCTGTGCGCGCAGCCGTGCCCCTCCCGCAGCCGGCACCTGCCCGGCCCTGCCGGCTCTCTGAGAACATAGGTGGCTCTGAAGCAGTACACGCTGCTTGGTCTCGTCTTTTAAAAAAAACTGGTTCCTGTCTTGTCCCTGCACTTCTGTCAGGGCAAAAAATTACAAGCTTCCTTGCTATCATTTAAAATTGTTAAGTGGACATTGGCCTCTTGGGTCTCCGGTAATAATTTCAATACCGATAATAAAGACTTAGAGGTGCAATGACTATTGCAATTATTTATATTGATTACTGAAAGGGAGGACACATTAATAAAATACTCTTTGTTTTATAATGCTCTTAATCTACACACCTCAACACTTGCATTATCACCGTTGCCTTTCACAGAGTGAGTCGTGTAAAAGAGGCAATGAGAAACTACACGCTCAAAAGACCTGGACAAAGTCATACATTGGAGAAGAACCACTGAGAACTGTCCGAGGAATTCAGTCTCCTTTTCTAAGCCTATGCCCACTTGCTTATTCTGTCTTCATCTTTCGGCCTACGCAGCAGGAAGACCTTTACGTTCAAAATCAAATTTTGGTGTCTTTGATAGCCAGTATTACATATGCAGATAGTCTCTGGAGATAATTTATTCCTTTGACACCCTCCTTCAGAAAACTGCAGCCATCCCTGGAATGCAGTGATCTCCTCTGTGTCGCTCCGCACTGTTCTTAATCAGATTAAGAATACACTGTCTAATTCAGATTACAGGAGCACATTAGGTTGTCTAGATTGTCATTTTATGTCCTTATTTCCCAATCAGCAGGACTCCTGCTCTTATCTTTTAAAATGTCATTAATGGATTTTTAATGCCAAGTTGCCAAGATTCGCAAGTTTTATCCTAAAAACCACTTACAGTGCTCCAAGTCCAAACACCTGTGCAAAGCATTAGGTTAGTATTATTTCACAGGTAGTATAGGCAGAGGTTTATGTGGACTGGTTCACAGAGAGCTGAGGACTCCACTCACATTGAAAAATAGGAGTCAGAAGAAAAAGAAATCAGACGTTACTAACAAGGATGGATAAGAAGTGAGGGGAGTACCTCTATCTGAAAACAATTTTTTAAAGCTTGTTACTATCTGAAGACTTTCAGTTTTCCTTGGAAGTCAACAGTTGACACATAAGTATGGGTGTGATATAAGTGTGATCTCATGGCTCGTCATAAGATCACAGTTTATCAGGGTGTAACCGCCTCAAAAATCTGCTAGGTTTTTTCTTGCCACTAAAAGCATGTTCAGCCTTGTCTGCCACCAGAAAAGGTTTGGGTAATAAAGGTGGGACAATGTCAGAAGGTTAAAGCCCTTCTGAGAGTTTGTCAGCTGAAGTAGGTGTTAAGGCAACTGACTTGAACTTTCCTCTGCATGAAGCGAATAAAGCAGATTTGGAACGAATAAGCTATTCCAAGTCAGAATCCCAGAAATGCCGGGCGGGATCACACTTCCATAGATCATGTAGTCCATCTCCAAGCACTAAGGCAGAATGTTGCCTCTTCTTGAAAATCTCTAAGGAGATTGCACAGCTTCTCAGTGAGCTGCTTCCAGTGTTTCACTAGCTATCTGATCAGGAAATTCTTCCTAATATCCAATCTGGATGTTAACAGCTGCATTAGCAGATGGAAGGAGAATCTGGTCACTAGATATCATGGCGATGGGAATATCAGAATAACAGTGACAAATAACACATAAATCCGACTATCAAATGATTTTTAAAAAAGAAGTAGTTTTTGAATTGTGGCTTTAGTTTGGATTTTGTTTTCTACTGAAAGTGTCCTACACTCTGGTTGTTCCTTTATTTTATTTGAATTTCTGGTTTCCTATACAAAAGACATTAAGTCCTGTTATTATATAGGTGTGCTGTTTTCACTCGTACTATAGCCCCTCTAGCATCATTGTTTTTACACAAAGAGTAGCTTTCATCTCATGTTTTGGGCTGGCACTTTCTCTATTAGTTATAACTCATTGCACAGTATATGAAACCACCCAACATATGCTTCTTTAGTAGCAATTAAGTCCACTAAACATTTAGAAAAATGTGTCTGATTTCAGAATGCTGAAATAGCCTATATTTTTCCTAGCAGAACTCAGTATGCTGCTATTTTTAAATAATAACTGTGTAATCATTTTCTATATTTGCTACGTATTTAACAGAATATGTCTACAGATCTAAAGGTGTTGTTTTAATTCATTACATAGTCTATCATATTGTAAGGGGTATCTAGTTCTGTGAGATATTTCATAATATCCTTCAAATTTGTAAACATCCCACGATTTTAGACCCTGTTTGTATGACTGTGTATGTCTAGCATCATTGAAGTGTGCCATTTCTGAGCAGACCACTTCAGGTATCAAGAGAGTTTACATGCCAGCTGGTTGAATTTATTTGCATTAAAGACTAAAATAAAGATAGTAGGATGGGGTTTAACTGCAGTTTTCAAAACATTATTCCCAAAAGGCAAAGCCTGAGAAATAGGCTTTTCAGGTTAACGCTGATTCAGTGTCTCTCTGGAAGGGAATTAGGAAGGTGGCTTGCTGTGCATCTCATGACTCAGCTGCCTCCTTTAATTCCTACTCACAGCTCCACTGTAGCTCTGCTATACCGTGTGCTTTCAAATCATCTCCAGAGGGTACCTCACTGACTATCTCACTGACCAGGCAACATCTAATTTAATTTGCTCTGTTCTGAGGGGCAAGAAGTTCAGTATTAACCTAAGAACCTCATTACTGACAAAAAGAAAAAATGACAAAAAAGGGACAATTTCAGATTTTTTCTGATTAGTTTAATTTAGCACATCCAAAATAAGAAAAGGTTTAATAAATGTCCCTAACAATTCCTGACTATAAGAAAGGGACAGATGGAGAAATAATACGCAAAAAGGAGAGAACAGGATTACCTGTCACAGAGTCAAGTACTAACACTGAGAGCTCAGTAGTTAAAAGAAAAACTGATTGTGCTTGGACTCAAGAGTCACTGCCTTTCAGTGCTGAAATCTGTAGTCTCAGTATAGTTAAGACTATGCCATGGAGAACATGATGGCCTCGCATTAGGGCCAAGTCAGAAGGGAAGATTTGGCTGATGGAAGTAAACCCGTAGTCAGTTCACTCAGGTGAAAAAAGTCTTGCTGGGAATGTGATGGAGGATGTCAAATGCACTCATTTTTGCTTCTAAGTAGTAGTGGTAAGGCAAATAAGCCCTGTCTCTTGAAAAGCTATCAGCTCAGCCACCCCATGATAAAATTTGTGGTTATTAGTGTAGAAAAAGGAACAGAGAGCCCAAGAATTAAGGGACGTTTATTCAGAAAAGGGGGGGAATTCATTCTCAATTACAGCTAAGGACTACTATGCTTATTTACATTGTTATGGAAGGGGTCTTTTTCTACTCAGAAGTTCCAAGAGAACTTCGTCCTTTATTGCTGTAGATAATGTGTAGGTAAGTCATTGCAGACCTTTGCAGGCCTCTGCGATGGCCTTGCCTCGCCCTCCTGTGTTATTGTGCGATTTGAGGCAAAAGAAACCAGATTCCTGACGCAGCCCGACTAGGTAGGTGTGCACAGTTGCCACAGTTGACCACAGTGTTGTTTCCAACATTCAGGTTTATTCAGCACACGCTGAAATGCATACATGAAAGAAATGCATGCATGCAAGAAACATTGTCAGAGCAGTATGGACTGCTCCCTGATGCCCTAACACTAGCTTCTGAGTAAGTTGTCCATGGAAGAGCCTTCCCCCCTCCCTCATCAATGCTTGAGTCCCAGGCACAGAGGCAGATGGTTCTAGTTGCTAACCCTTTTTTGCAGAAACGTACTTTTTCCTCCTGATTAGGCTTAAAGCCTGCCTTTGATTTTGGTATGATCATGCTATACACAGATATTGAGCTTCTCAGCTGTGCTTAACTGTCCCCTTGCCAACACTGATGATCTCACACTACCCAGGAGGTCTGGAGGACAGAAAGAATCTTTATTTTCTCTCTCAAAATGCTGGTGAGAGACCTTTGTGCATTCTTGAAATGTATTTGCCTGTGCACTGCAGTTTTTAGACAGGATGAGAGGCAGGAGACAGCCCAGTTAAGGTTAGCAGGCAGCAATGATACCAGTCAACATACAAG